AGTCCTCTTTCCTCATTATGTGCCCCAGAATGTTCAACTGTTAAGTAGAAGTACCCTTAGTGTAAATAATGAAATATCCACATTACCCCAAATTCAAGCAGATATCAACACGCATGGTAAAAATACCACCTTTTGTGTTTATTTATTAAAAGATTCATTTAAAAATTCAAACACAGTAGAGAGATAAAGGTGTGTCTGAATTAATGTATTGAACACTCATCGAGGTTCAAACACAGGGAACGGATTTTGAAGGCCGATTTTCAAAGCAAGCAAGTCTTACAGTCTCGAAAGATTGTATTACAACATAATCTTCCATTCCTCCTGCCCGTTGTTTAAATGGCCTTGAGCCCGACAAATCTAGGTACAGTTAATCTCCTTAAACATATGCTGATCGTGAGTCTGGGGTCTATAAATAGCTATGTCGTTCATAGCCATAAAACATACATATATCGACAGCAATAGAAACATGCACATGTTAAAAATCTTACACTCCTACCATATATGTATATATATATGTATATATATGTGCACGCTATTTGGAGCCTGTCTGGTAGGTGAGGTAATTGAGTCGCCAAAGATCGATGTTTGCGGACAGAATTTCGCATACTGATTTTGAAGGCAGGCAACACTTTCTTATATAAACGATTGGTGCAACATAATTTCCACTATTACCAAATCTATCTATCTATCTATCTATCTATCTATCTATCTATCTATCTATCTATCTATCTATATATTATATATTACCATTTCTATGCTAAAATAAAGTAAACGATTATCTCTCTCTCTCTCTCTCTCTCTCTCTCTATATATATATATATATATATATATATATATATAAAGAAGTAATGGATTATTATTTCTTAATCCGACATTTTTTATCGCTACAAAACGTTATTTTTAGTGGATATTCGTATTTGAGTAGATGTTCCATTTAATTTCTTGAACAACATTTTATTTTTTCAACTGCCCTAAGAAATCTAATAAGAGAAAATATGTCCACCTTTGCACGAGAAAATAAACTGTGCGTTTACTCAAATATGGGTATCCAGTAAAAATAACGTTTAAAGTAATCTATCTATCTATCTATCTATCTATCTATCTATCTATCTATCTATCTATATATATATATATTGGGTTGGTGCAGAATTATCAGGCGTTTTTAAACAATATTTATTATGAAAAAAGAAACATAAAAATTCAACAATAACATTTTTAAATGATTTTTCCGGAGGGTATGATTATCTCCACGCATTTTTATAACCTGGAAATAAAATATTTTTATTAAAAAAAATAAACAAAACAGCAATTATTATTCATAACTAACTCGCCTACAACAACGTCTGATAATTATGCATCAACTCTCTCTCTCTCTTTTTCTCTCTCTCTCCATATATATATATATATATATATATATATATATATATATATATATATATATATATATATATGGGATAATGATATATAAATTTTATACGTCAAGAACAGTTTTGAAATAAAAGATGTATGATAAATTTGTCATATATATATATATGTGTGTGTATGTAGGTGTATGTGTGCGTGTGTGTAGTTGGATGAATATGTTTGCAGTTTGAAACACTCATTCATAGTTAATATATATATATATATATATATATATATATATATATATATATATATATATATATATATAAAAATGTGTCTACTGTTGAGTGAATATGGATCTGAAATTTTCGCTGTATAATTCTCGATCTATTTGACTGGTGGGGAAGTGGTTAATTAAGTGCGTTGACAAGACAGGAGATTATATTCAAAAATAGATATTTTATGTAATAGGTAAAATCTCCATTCAACATTAAACTGCTACATTTTTCATGCGTTATTAAAATTAAAATATCGATAAGTGATGCGCTTTAAGAACGTAACACCCCCCTCCCCAAATATTACTGTAAAAGTTAAAAAGTAAAGACCTAGAAAGTGAGGAAGAGAAATAAATGGAAGAAGTGAATAAAATAGACTATTATTAATTTTTGACTATCTTTTTCTTTCAACTGATTTCTGAAAGAACATCGAGGTCGATTGATTAATTGATGTTGCAATTAAAAAAAAAACCCCAAAAAACAAAAAACAAACAACAAAAAACAAACAGACAAATGCAATACTGAATGAAAAACCTCGCCACGAACAATTATTAACACAAAATAGTCCATTAAAAAAAAAAATCGGACAAGTGAGCTGCATGATAAATTCAGCTGCAAGAACCAGGCTTTGGATGCAAATATATCAAAATTAGGAATGAATAGACCAACGCACACCAACATATGTTTGCCCCTGCGAATGTGTTCACATATACTGAAACTTAGATACTAAATATTTATACACAAATAAGTACACGCATTTTAGTAAGATATTCGAATGGAACAAACGCCACCCTGGGGGGTACACATGTGAACCTACACACTGCTGAAACTGTTTACAAACAACTCACTCATACGCCTACTCAAAGCGGACTCCAAAATGTATATACGACATATACACACGTTCCATACAATAGGTAAATACTGTCTAAGATTCATACATTTTTCTACGAGAACATGCGTTTAATTGTTGAAATTATTACAAGGATGAACAGAAAAAAATATATCTTCTTATTTAACATTACATGCAGCTTTGTAAACGTTGTAACGAAGAGACTATATCGAACTTCATTGCAAACCAATAAATTCCGTCTATTTTGAATAAATAAATAAATACAAGGGTTAAAATTCAGGCCATACCTTGTGAATTGTCTGCAGTATTCAGCCGGGTGAGTGGCAATTTAGGATAATTAATAATTTTGCTGTCGTTTTCTCTCCTGTAATTGTGACAAAAAACGCATCAATCTATGAGGGAAGAAACTGAGTTCCACTAGCCACGATGGAGGAACAGATAACTATATGCAGATAAAAGTATATGTATATCACAAAATGTGAAGATCTTATGAAATGTATACGCACACACACACAGACACACGCGCGCACTCATAGACACATGGTCAGAAACACAAAGACTTACACTCACAGATATAGAGATACACGCGGATAACCTCGCAGACTCATTCACTCACACACATGGGTAAAGACACACAGACACACGTTATCTATTGTCTTCTTGATTACTCATCTATTATTCTCGTACCTTAATAATGTTTCTCTTTCTCTTTCTTATATTCTTTCACACCCAGTAACCCCTTGTGTCTTAGTGGCTTTAGTGCCTTGCATGGGGTGAATTCACTCATAGACACATGGTCAGTGAAATTCAGTCATACATGCACACACATACACTCACACTCGTAGACACGTACACAGACTTGGAGACACGCGCGCACACACACATACACATATACGCCTAACTACATACGCATTCACAGACTGACAAACACACACATAGACCGACACACACTCAGAAACACACACACATTCAGGCACTCAGAAACACATACAGACACACACAAGCACATATACACATTCGCACATTAATACACGAACTCATAAGCGCGCGCACACTCGTAGACACACAGAAATACATACTCAGAGACACATACACAGACACAATTATAGACACACATAGATTCCCGTAGACAGGCAGTCACAGAAACTACCAAACTCATAGACACAATTACTAGCAGATACGCACAGGCACACACACACACACACACACACACACACATACAGATACACATATACACACGCGCACACATGCGCACATACATACAATATACATGCATGTCATATATTCATATATATATCATCTATACATACACAGGCAATGACAAACGTATAGCCATAAACACGTATACGCTCAAATACATTCACATAGACTTACACACATGCGCTCACATCCACACATACATGCACACACACACACACACACTTTTATACACACGCACAGGTACATACAAACTCACTATAGACATCTACATGCAGACATATGCACACCATATACTCAGATATGCACACATACCCTCATACATACACATACAAACTCGCCATAGTCACATCCACAGATATATAGACACACACACGCGCGGTTCACGTTGAAACATCGGTTCACGCACGAGCAACGAAGTTAAGCAACGTTGAGGCTGGTCAGTACCTAGATGGGCGACCGCTTGGGAATGCCAGAGGCTGTAAACTTTGATGTGCGGTTGGTGTAATGGATAACAGGTCGGAATTTTAAATCGGAGGGCCGAGTTCGAATTCCAGTCGAGTTCATTAGATTTACCTACGCACAATTACCCTTGGAAAAGGTATGAATCGACCTTTTCTTCCCCCAGCTATGGGTTAATTAGTAGGACTGGTATCAGTAAATCTGTATGATCTCGACAAATTTCTTATAATCTAAAAATATTTTCTGACTTTAAATAACCTGCAAATGGTTGATAAAAAACGAAAACAAAGAATCAATCACATACAGAATGATATATATATATATATATATATATATATATATATATATACTACCAATATGAAGAATCTTAGTCTACCCTCTTCCAGACTCGAACCTAAACCGTCATATTACAAGTGAATCTAAAAAAAACTGTAAAAGCCAAACCTGTACATGAGATTTGATTTATGCATTTTCTACGGATTATCAACCCATTTTCCGGTTATTTAAAGCCAGCAAATACTTATAGATTGTAAGAATTTGGGGGGGGGGCAGATAATGGTTTAGAGATACAGATTTGGTTGGTTGATTTTGTTTAGCGGTATATCAACACCGCTATGGGTTATTTAATGCCGAAATCAAATATTTTGTACGCAACTTTATTTTAATCATTATTTTTTTTTTTAGATAATAATTGTTTTAGTGATACAAATCTTACTAATTAACCCATAGCTGGAGGAGAAGAGGTGGATTCATGCCTTTCCCAATGGTATTTGCGTGTAAGTGAATATAACGATGGCAACGGGAATTGGAACTCGGCTCTCTGATTAACAATTCCGAGCCATTATCCATTATACAACCCGCGGATCCAAACGTACAACACCTGGTATTCCCTAGCGGTCACCCATCTAGATACTGACCAGGTTCGACGTTGCTTAACGTCGGTGATCGTACGGGAAGCTGCGTTTCAACGTGATGTGGCTGTACCTAAACGTGGGATTGTATGCGTCAGAAGCAAACGGATGTACTATTTATGCAACAGGACCTGTTAGTTACTTACATAGGTAAATATGGGTCCCTTGATACAGATTGATAGGTTGCAATATAACCTTGGTATCGATACTCACTGGATGATCGATTATTGCAGCTCTGTGTTAGATTAAGCTGTTTCACATGTAGGTGCCGTTCTTGCTAAGTTATATACATATGTAATTTTATATTTATAAATGTTTCTATGTTAAAAATCGGCAGATCTTTGTAAATATATTTATTGCTAGAGAGAGCTTGCTTTCTGACCGTTCAAGCTATTTTTTTCGGATATTTAAACAGTGTTGGTGGGATTTGATATCTAAACTACCCTTGAGTTTATCTGTCATATTTATGTCTTTCGACAAGGTCACAGGAATTTTCATATGCGATAGGTTAATTGATGTTAGAAGTGGTATTAACATTTTTGTTATAGCTTTTCCTAGTCTACGGGGAGGGCTTTAAAGTTATTTAATAATCGAAAAATCGGTAGCGGCCCAGACTGAAGAATCGATGAGCCGAGTTCGAATTCTAGTCGAGTTCATTATCTTCACTTTCGCGCCAATACCCTTGGGAAAGGTTTGAATCCATTTCTTAGTCTCCCAGCTATAGCAGGACAGAGCGGGTTCTATAGCCTTGGGTGACAACCGGTCTAGAAGAAGAGCAATTCTGAATTTAAAACCGATTGAGGGCGTACCACACTATATACATCAGGGGTGGCCAAACCGCGGCTTGTGACCGATATTCGACTCTTTGACCTTTAATAGAGATTTTCCAAGCGTAGCTTAGATGTGGCACAAGACCGAAAGTAGGGGGCACCCAGTGAGGATCGAACTCACTACTCAGTCGTAATTGTTCTAGCAAGACAAGCTTGCTAACCATTACACTGCCTTGAGGTGCCCTCTTTGACCTTTAATATGCGGCTGGTGGAAATATTTTGACCGAGCTGCTTTTTTCATGTCTTTTGACTCTCAAACATCTTTATTGTATATGGCTCTTACATTAAGTATGTTTGGCCACCCCCTGGTCTAATCTGTCATAAAATGTTAGAATGCAAAGCTTCTTGCATGGGTGATTTTGAATGCGTAGGCTACTAAATTGAATACCTTCTCCATTTTGGTTAATTTAGCGGAACATTCTTCAGTAGTGACTGCCATGTCCACAGGTACTAATAAAGTGATTAGAGTTAGCTACTCACAACACTGTAAGATGATGGGTTAAGAGAGAAAAAATATATATTAAAATGTTTGGAATTTAAATATACAATATCTGAGATACCTGCACAATCGTAAATAAAGTTACGTTTCTTTTTTAATATATATATATATATATATATATATATATATATATATATATATATATATATATAAACCCCAAAAAACAAAACAAAAAAACAAAAAAACAAGCATTAAATTCGAGCAACAAAGTCTTTTATTATATTTTTCAAGTAATTTCTTGTCTGTCTGAATGAAAACTGTATGTAAAATGGGTAAATTTTTATTTTAACACCCGAGCGCTAATATCCCTTCAAATTTTTCCAAAATAATCTTATTTCCGTGCAAATGTATATGCTGAACTCAAATAAACAATTAGACATTGAAGAAACCTACCTTTTTGGATGTTAACGACCCGAAAAAATCGGACTTTATCCTGGTCTTTCGTCAGCTATTACCGGCTTATTGATAAGTAATTCAGTGCTGAATTTTGTTGGTGGACGTATACAGTTTGGGCCTATTTATTTCCTTCACAGTAATTCCTTGTAGAAATTAGTACGCGCTTCCGTAAAGCGATTTTTTTTTTGTACTTAATTTAAGAAGAAAGTTAACTTTCAAATATATGTAAACATCGACAAATAAAAGAATAACAAAGTAATTTTTTTAAAGAAGAAAGTTAGCTTTCAAATTAGGGTTAGCTGTTTTTTTTTTTGTGGGGGGGATATTTTTTTTATTTTTTTTTTAAAAGAAAGTTAACTTTCAAATTAGGGTTAGGTGTTTTTTTTCTTTTGTTACTCTTTTATTTGTCGTGCTAATTTCTGAAAGAAAATAGTTCAGCAGTGAATGACGCTCGGGTGTTAAAAAGAAAATTTACCGTAAAATATTCAAAGATCATTTTTTTTTGTTTCAGTACTTTCAACCATCTTTGTCATTATCAAGAATTAAATAGTGTCAGCATCATTGACAGGAGTTATTGGCTACATGCTAGCAGAATTTTATTTGAACATTACATTCCAAATGACAGTGATAACCTTAAGAAAGGCTATATTCAACAAAAGAAACTGAGCCAAATGATACTATCAGTGTCTTTCGTAGCTTGGATGTGGCACAAGGCCGAAAGTAAGAGGCACCCAATGAGGATCGAACTCACTACTCAGTCGTAATTGTTTTAGCAAGACAAGCTTGCTAACCATTACACCAACTCGAGGTGCCCTCAGTGTCTTTCCACATAGTGATTTTCTAAGCCAGGCTTGGATGTGGCACAAGGCCGAAAGCATGGGGCATCCAGTGAGGATCGAACTCACTTTTCAGTAGTAACAGATCTAGCAAGACAAGCTTGCTAACCATTACACCACCTCGAGGTGCCCTCAGTGTCTTTCCACATAGTTATTTTCTAAGCACAGCTTAGATGTGGCACAAGGCCGAAAGTAGCGGGCACCCAGTGAGGATCGAACTCGCTACTCAGTCGTAATTGTTCCAGTGAGACAAGCTTGCTAACCATTACACCACGCCGAGGTGCCCTGGTGATTTTCTAAGCCCGGCTTAGATGTGGCACAAGACCGAAAGTAAGGGGCACCCAGTGAGGATTGAACTCACTACTCAGTCGTAATAAATCAAGCTTTCTAACCATTACACGGTCGAGGTGCCCTCAGTGTCTTTCCACATAATCTGCACCCCCCAAAAATACAGCAGAATTTATAAGGGAAAATGTATGTTCATTTGCATACAATAAATTTACATAGAAAACACCAAAGAAGAGTTCATATCATAACACAGTTAATATATATATATATATATATAAGGTAAATAAGAAAAATTTCAAGCTTTATAATTATTTACTGGGTTTGAATTGAAACCCCATTGGATTAAAACGTAAGTTTAATGTTAATGTGGATGTAACAAAAACGTATGTGTAAATTTTGGCCATGTCTTGTGCCTATCAAACATCTGAAATTTATCGTATGTGGCTCTTACATTAAGCAATTGTGGCCAGCCCTGCCACAGAGTCTGGTATACGGTTGTCGATAAAGAGATTGGAGAGGAGATGGGCGTCACCAGACTACCTGAATATACACTAATATGATCACTAGGAATAAGAATCAATCGATTTCTGCTGCCCTCGGGTGACCCAGCCCCGTCCTGACGAGGGAGTTGTGGGGATATATAATAACGATATGAAATGGCCAAAATTGACCACTCAAATATACGTAAATGGTCTACCAAAAACACACAACTCTCTGTGTCCTGGGTAAGACGATAAACTACGTCCAACAGAAAGGCCACTGATTAATTGCTGGTGTTCCCAGCTCCACCCTGACCTGGGGGTGGTAGCATCTGTTAGGCTCCCAACTATGGGCAAATAGTTAACCCCCAAACTGGGGTCAAATCACTATGAAAATGTAAAAATAGGTTTTAATATCAGCAATACATTTTTTGAGGAAAAATTATTACCAGCAATATATTATTACCAGCAATACATTTTTGAAGGAAAAAAATTACCAGCAATACATTTTTGGAAAAATTATTACCAGTAATAAAAATCTTGTCAGCATTAAATAACCTATGGAGGTTGATGTGGCGTAAAACAAAAGAAACCAAACCACAACTCACTTCCGACTTCTTGTTTCCCAGATAACTTTGATCTTCGAAAATTTAAATGCAATGTCAATCATTATCTTATGTCTTCTTAATTCTTGTTCTTTTATTGTCCTCTCTCCTTAATAGTAGTTTTCTCATATTCTCTAACACACAGTAACCTCTTGCGTCCTAGTGGCTTTATTGCCTTTGATCTTCAAAAATGTAAATGCGTCTGTCTTCTTAATTCTTGACCTTTTATTGTCATCTCTTCTTAGTAGTAGTTTTTCTCATATTCTCTAACAACTAGCAATCTCTTGCGTCTTAGTGGCTTTATTTCCTTTAATCTTTAAAAATTTAAATGCAGTGTCAATCGTTATCTTTTGTCTTCTTAATTCTTGTACTTTTATTGTTCTCTTTCCTTAATAATGTTTTTCTTCTCATATTCTCTCACACTCATTAACCCCTTGGGTCTTAGTGAGGTTATTGCCTTGCCTGGGGTGAAATGATTACAAAAAAAAAAAAGAAGATAAAACCTATCATAATTGGAATTGGAAATGCTCCCTATGACTGGCGAAGGCTACAAAAGAAGATCTTAACCCTATTCTTGGAAGAATTAGCCCTTCATATATTAAAAATTCTGACGAGCTCGTGGAAAGATTAAAAGACATAAATATGATATATAAAGTCATGTCTAGTTTAGATATTGCATCCCTCTACCCGTTACCAAATGCTTAAATCTCCCAAAAGAGATTTAGTGCAATCAAAAGCAAACTCTCCTTAAATTTAATGTCTACATAAATAAATAAACGGTAGGATAAATACAAATATAAAATTTGTCACTTAGCCGATTGGTGTGATATTCAGCACCCCCCCCCCACACACACACACTTAATAGTTTCATAGACGAAACTTTTTGTAATCGCTCGGTCCACTCGTCAGAAGATATCAGTAATTTTCTACCAATTATTTGTACATTGTTAAAAAAAAAATTAGAAGGTTTTTATTATTGACGTTAGGTTGATTTTTTTTAATGGTATTTGACATTCGATACTAATTTTTACATTTTTGTATAAACTGAACACGGAAATAAAACTGATAACAGAAAAAAATGGCTAATTTTAATTGAAGCTGATAAGAGAAAGTCATGAACTTCATTACTCCTTGAG